CCCACTACTTCCAAAATGCAGCCTTCAAAGTCAGAGCAATACAACATTGGAACCAGCTGCCTGGAGAGGTGGGGGGCTCTCCCACACTGGAGACATTAAAAAAGAAACTGGACAGTCATCTGAGTGGGATGGTGAAACATAGTGTCCTGCAACAGCAGGAGGTTGGACCTGATGGTCTCCTTGGCCCCTTCCAACTCTTCTATTCTATGATTCTATGAAAGCACCATGAGTTGGTCTCTCCCCCACCCCTTTCCCACCCCTGCAGACTTAGACAACATCCTAGAGGCAGTTTATTTGAGCTCTACCAGTTACAAAGCAGCATAATGTTCTCTTTGAGCTGTGGGAGTGGCATCCACATGTGAAAAGCCAAATCCACATTAAAACTTCCCTCCCTTTCAGAAAGACCCGGACTCCACCCTCAGGGTGGTTCTTGCCACTTACTGGTGAGGCAACCAGGATGACCGGCACTTGCTTTGCCCATTGGCTCTCTACAGGCTCAAGGGTCTCCCCCTCAATCTCTACCCCATCCTTCTCTGACATGTCTTCACCTTTTCCAAGGTGGGTTGGTTCTCAAGCGGTGTCTGAGTTAACTTCTCTTGGTAGCCTTGGAACCACAAAGGCCTTTGCCTTTCCACCTGCTCGTCTGAATCTGAAGAATCCATCTGAGAAGACTGGGACTTGAGAGTGGGCACCCTCTCTCCATCAAGCTGGATACCTGCCTCTGAACTGGCAGGAAGGGTGGGGTCAGAGTGCTTAGTTGAAATGCCATGACCCGTGAGCGTCAAGATAAGTGGCTGGTGGGAACCAAACAGCCCCTGGTTTAGCAGGAGACACTGGAAAAGTAGTCAGAGGGGGAAGGGTGTAAGATCAAGTCCAGCTGTTTGACGCCAGGTCAAATGAGGTCCAAGTGAGCAGCATCCAATGCTCCTGCCATCTGGCCCACAAGCAGCATGAACTAGCAGCGTGTAAGAAATCTGGTTTGGCAGTGGGAATCTGTCAGATTTCCTTAGCTCAGCTCCCTGGACTTCAGCCCAGTCTATCTCTTCCCTAAGTCATTCGCATCAAGCATTCATGTGGGCATCCAGCAGGAAGCAAGTCCAACTGTTGTACATTATTTTACAGATGTGCAGGTGTAACAAGTGAGGCTGGCTTGTGCACATGCCACTCACACGCCTGCTGTGCAAGGGGTTTCTGCTTCCACACATGTAATCTGTGGGCTTTATATATTTAGCAGGAGAATATTTCAGCACAAACAAGGAGCCTGCAAGTATTTTCAAGCATTCAGACATGATCTAAGCTTAGCTCACTTCCTAGACCAAGGCTGAGAATGGGAAAGAAGTCCAGCAAGTGCAAGAGAGCTGAATTCTGGGCAGACCTTCACGTTACTAACATGAACATCCCTGAAGGTGGAGCCAACTCTGTTTGGTGGAGAAAGGAGAAGGGGAATTAAGTCTGCTATCAAATTCTGGCATGGACGGCACTAAAGCCACAGTCAGAAAGTTCATTAACTTGATGGAGGCTTCTTGCTAACAACTTTTACATTTAGTCACTTCGTATCACAAATTCAACCCTGACCGGCCAGTCAGAACATCACAAAAACTGTAGTTAGAAGCCTTTCATCTTGATCTGCTGGGAAGGAAAAAGATGAGAGGATGCGGTGCATGAGACCAGCTCATATCACTGGATAATGCTGGGTCAGTCACTGACTGTCAGTTTAACCTACCTTGTAGGGTCGTTCTGTGGATAAAACAGAGGCCCAGGTTTATGGTTTGGCTGCCTTGGTTTCTTTGCAGGAGAAAAGACAGATTATAAATGTAATAGAATAAACATTACTTCCATTGTTAAGTGGCAATGAAAAGTCACTGACCTTACTGAAAAGCAAGAGAGGCTCTTAAGAGAGAGATTCCAGCACATGCACTAGCAGGACTTGAGTCTAGGCAGATGGAACCAAAATACCTCTGAATGTGGCAAGGCTAGCTTACATAATGAAGTGGGTGAAGTAATATGCATGATCATCAAAGAGAGCGAGGGGATACGAGTGTAAGAGCACATTATCTCCAACTACCCAACAGCATCACTGAATTCATATAAAAGGCTGGTGCCTATGAAATGCGGAATCTTATACTGGATACAGAGTACATTTTTGTCTATTCTTGTGTTAGAAGACGCATACCCTAGAAGGCCCACCATTTGTACTCTTCCTACTTGGATTTAAAGTAATTGATAAAGTGTTGCCCAATTACTCAGGGGCACATTTAGTTGACTGCTTGGAAAAAGGAAGAGGATTTATGAATGACATTGCCTATTCTAAGGTGATGATGCTCCCAAGCATGTATTATGGATCACAACACTATTGCCTGCCTTACCAATTTGTACTTCAACAAACCACAGCGGTCCCTCAAGTCTCTTGATTTTAGTTATGTTTAGACGGTGTCACTTTGACTACTCAGAAGCACACAATGCCCAAAAGAATGCATGTGCTATTAATAAATAGAATTCAACTTTCAGTAGCTAAACATCCATCCGGAGCCTGTTACTTATGTGTAAAATGGCAGCCGGGCTCAGTGATTACCAACCATTGACAGCAGCAGGAGAAATTCCATGAACCCTGATAATGGAGCTGGAAGGAGGAGTAAAAAGGATCACACAAAGCAGTTAAGTTTCCAAGAAAATCAGTGAGATGTGCACCATGTAAGAACAGTTAGGATCGTGGCCTGTTTTCTCTAATTAACCAGCTCTGCTAGATTAGATTAGATCTCAACCCCTTTGTTATTTAAAATACATATTCATAGCACTATATTTTATAGATGCACTGTTCTGGTTACAAAATAGCTCCTACTTTTCTAGGACATAATTTCATTTTGTTTAGCCAAGAATTCATTAAAGAAGCTATAAATAACCTCCTTTAAATATTTAGCCGTGAATAGAGGGTGGACTGGCATTGATGGCTTATTTTAGTACTAACGCAATATGCTTTAGAGCCATAAAATCTACATTTCAGCATGTATCAAGCTAATGATTAACACCTCCAATGTGGTCTGTGATATCCAATTACACCGTGTACGTTGCAATCCCAATCATCACCCCCAATCCAAGGAAGCAATCAGGATTAGGCCTCACCAAGTTCTTCTGTTAGATTGCAAAGGGGCAGCCATAATCAGAATGCATATAGCACCATAGCCTCGTTGGACCAGTTCTTGCCTGAATTTTATTTCTGAGACACCAGTCTTTAGCTTGGCCAGCTATGCACAAAGAAAGACACTGTGGTCCATAGAAATAGCAGTAGATGGATTTTTCTTTTGACTCATATTTAGACTTTCCACCAAGGATTTTTAAGCATTATCTTGGCCTACCTACTTAGAAATAAACCCAATGAGTTCCGTGGTTCTGCAGACCTGCAGGCTAAATTCAAGGCTGTCCATGGAGATGCATAGCCGACTGGCTAACTGACTGCCTCACTTGGCTACTTGAGGCAATTTAAGATGTAATTAGGCTAAGTTTACTAAATCCTGCCCTAACCCTCTAGCTACTGAAGCATGTGGCTGCTAAGGAAGATTTTCAGATCATTCCAAGTTTGGTCCATAGCAGACCATCGGAGATACTTACCGTATTTTTCGCTCTATAAGACACACCTGACCATAAGACGCACCTAGTTTTTAGAGGAGGGATCCATGGAAAGCTTCCTGATAATCACAGGCACATTCCCCATCACTTCCCCATGGGCTTCATTAAAAGACGGGTTGCCATTTGGAAACACACACCAACCTGTGATTAACAGCTCTCACCTGCGCCGGATGAGGGGGGCGGAGCAGGGCGCGCAGAGCGCGTGCCGGCCAGGTGTGGTGCAGCCGGGCCGGCAGCGTGCCAGCGGTGGTCTTCGGGGCAGTGCGGCAGTGGCAGGTCTTCCCGGGCGGTGGGGGTGAGCAGTCCGTCTCTCCGTGCGGCCGGCGGGCTAAAACCCGCAGCTCCTCCTCCTCCGCACCGCTCCCCGAGCGGCACAGCTCTCACCTGCGCCGGAGGGGGGGGGCGGAGCAGCACGCACCGAACGCGTTCCGGCCAGGTGGTGCCACATGGTGCAGGCGGGCCAGAAGCGTCCCGGGTGTCAGGCACACACACATTTGCTCTATAAGATGCACAGACATTTCCCCTTACTTTTGAGGGGGGAAAATGTGCGTCTTATAGAGCGAAAAATACGGTACCTCACCAGATTTTCACATGTGTCAAAGCATGGAAAAAGGAACCCAAATGGCAAGGAGAAAAACAATCTGTTTTCACTTGTTAGTGGCCCATTTCTAGGGTCTCAGAGAAGCCAATTTCACATCCTTTCCAGTCTGCTCCCTCCAGCCATAAGACAGATGGGGTTCGCTTTTGACAAAACTCCCGTGAAATAGGTCTTCGGAATGGGGGTCCCCGCTGAGAACACTTTCCTTGGTGCCTTGGCCACACAGGTGCAGAAGTAGCAAACCGAGAAGCCCATCTACCACACATGGCAGAACACAGGGGTGGAAATGGCTTCTAAGGGCATTTGGGCCAGGATGGAAATACAACTCAAGAGTGGCTGGGAGGGTCAGTTCTTTGGTAAGGGATGCTGCTTCAAGAGCAATGGTGCCGGCCTTTCAGGTATTTCTGAAAGCTGAGTAGACAGAGCCCTTCTTTCTGGTTACAGGGCCATGCTGTGCCTCGAACTCGCACTGTGGACTCTGGACCACAGCAGAAGCCAGTCTCCTCCTGGAGCAGCCCCCAGCACTGGAATTACCCTTCTGGAAACACAGAAGATTGGGACAGTCTCCTAAGGGCTAAAGCTCCTTTAGTTTAAGGGCAAGCTGTTTTCCTCCTGAGCGTGTAATTTCCATTGACATTAGTAAGTGCTTTTTACAAAAGAAAGAAGTGAATGAATGGTTTTGCAATGGGAAGCGCAGGGAACATTTCAGAAAGTCTGTAAATGAGAAAACATCTCTACCCTGTTTTACTATTTGACCCAAAGGAAAATACTCTCAACATTTCTGATATTTTCTTTTTACTTGAAAAGTTTAATTTTACAAAATACTGGGGAAGGGTGAGGGGTTCCATCAAAGAAACTTCCCTGCAAAGTGGGTGAACACAGCATTCTGTTTCATCAATTGTATACAAGTTATCAGGGGTTTTATGCTAGTAGGAAAGAAATGATTAGTCAGCACAGACACCTAAAAGGAAACCCTACAAAACAATGGGGGATACAAGAGAGTCTTAAAATGCTAAAGCAAATCATGAAATATAATTGTTGGCTCTATTTGAAAGTTGCAGAGTTACTTTCAAACGATCCATATGGTACGTAGAACATCACATCTGGTACAAAACTGCCTGTATTGAGATTTAAACACACACACACACAAAGCGTTATGAAGATTATTCTTTTGAAAATTATTCCAAGTGCTGTTATCATAAGGCAAACATGTACAAAGGTGCTGACTGCATACAGGGATATTAAGAAAATAAGGAGAATTTTGAAGTTTTTGCTCACAGATTTTTTTTTTTAAAGAAATACCATCAACAAGAGGTCTAAACATGAACAATATCAACTCAACACAGTCTGCCGTTTTATTAGCTAGATGGAAGCCATCTTACATACTGTGCCACTACACATGAAAATCCAAAACTTCCATTGTCTACATATGACCTAGGCTTTTCTGTTGCATTCTGGCAGCTTTGAATTTTGAAACCCGCTTTGTGGCCTCTTCTGAAGGTTCAGACAAAACTTCTTCAGATTTTCGCTCCAGAATGGTGGGAAGGACAGGATAGGCAATTACTGGGTGTGGCGCTGAAGCGGGAGACAAAGGTTCTTTCTCAACAACAGTTCCCGAGAAAGCCTACAAGAAAAAGAAGACTTCAAAAAGCAGCTAAGTCCCAACTGCAAAACAGGCGTATTCAAGTTTGCTACCTTCGTTACCATTAGTATTTCTCTAAGTCAGAAATACGGAAACTGCCCTCTAACCAGTGCTAGCTCCTTGCAGGAGGAAGCTGTACTTAACCTCAACTGTCAAGAAAACCAGAAGGAATGCCAGTGTGTTAAAAAGTGCTATGGACCATAATTCACAGCTAACTGAAAGCAACAACAAAAACTGGTTTCTTCCCTGACATTGATTCAGGAAAATAAAAATGCCGGTATCTCCGGTAACAAACATGGCAACATTGCAGAATTGGACTCTGTGACTATTTCAGTCCTATATATTGCATTTCATGCTCTGACACATGGCCTTTTTCAATTGCTTCAAGGCAACACACACCACAGAGATCAGATCCTACATATCTCACAGAAGAAAAATCATACCAACAAGCTCAATACACTTTTACATGGAAGAAAACTGCCAAGGAGATGCCCCAACCCGTACTCATTTTCCTTCTGTGCAAGTCTAAATCGAAAACATACACGCTGCCACAAGATACAGGCCAGGGTGTCCTTTGGGCACAATCCAGAGATAAGGAAGACAAAGTAGCAGGCCCCCCTGACCAGAATGTTATTAGACATCACCAGGCAAGAACATCAGGCCCATGAATGGAAAATAGCAGACATCCGTGTTAAATCAAGTGAAGCAGAAGGAGCAGATCAGACCACAGCAGTCGCGCTTTCAGAACTTAAAAAGGCGAGAAAGAGATGCTAAGTGTGGTGCCATGTCTGAGCACTGCTAACTTAAGGGCCAGGATGAGAAAGGAGACCACCCAACAAGGGTGCTCCATAAATCTACGCGTTACTGTCACAATTTGGCATCCTAAAGGAAGGCCGTACGCCCGGCCTGTGATCGCCCATTACCGTGAGGTCCCAGGGAAATGGGGAAACGAACTGGAGGAGACTGAAGTGGCCTTTGCCAGGGGTGGCCTATTCCTGCTGCTATTGTGAAGCAGTTTGCTTCACAGAGTGAGGACATGGGCTGCCTTTGGGCAGGGTGGGGAACCAGGGTCAAGTGGGATGCTGCACAGTGCCCCACCAGGCCCCCCGCAGGCTAGAGGATGACGTCCCTGCTTGTTTTGCCTTTTCCTCCATGTTGGGAATGCCGTGGAGTGCCATTTCCCTCTCACCATGGCGAATGGGACTTGAACAGTGCTGGGAACAGAGGGAGCTCCACCTGCTTGCCAGCTACATCTCCAGCTCTGCTCAGTGTGAGCTGTCCCTGGGGTTTGCGCAGCGCACAGCAATCTGCGGCCCTCCGAGACCCGGATGAGTTCCAAGCTTGGCTCTCTCCAAGCCCCCTGCTACTGCATCCCACAATCATCTCAGATCTGCAATGAGAGATACCAGCAGCAACTGCCTGTGTTCCCTTTCCCCACCCAATTCCCCAGGGCTTTTTTATTAACTTGCCCTTCCTCACCAAGAGAAAGGGAATGCACTGGACTCTCCATTTTCTCCTTGTCCCAACAGCCTGACTGATTGGACTTCAGCTGAAACCAGTGGGGTGAATTTGGACTTACTCGTATTTGGAGAAGACCTACTGTAATCGCTCGAAACTGAGTGAGGCACAGACACTTTGTTCTATTGATTTCAATGGGTCTGTTCCAAGCAGGACTAAGTCTAAATCCAAACCAGTGGAAGCCACTTCACATAAAGCCAGTGCCAAGGTTCATGGCAGTGTTTAAATTCTGTTCACTGGGCTCAAGAAAGCACGCTGTTAGACTGCAGTCACATCTATATTTTGATAATATAAATGTAGAGAAAGGGTTGGGGTTTCTTTTAGAAAGGGGGGAAAAACCAATTTCTTCTCCCTGCATTTCTGCCATTCTACCCATATGCCAATGAGAGGCATGACATAAATTTGGTTAAGTTGTCTTGCTCATCCTAACCATCCTTTTAGAACTGAAGACGAACAATTACCACTCCCTGTACCTCATATGCTCCTGATGAGGGTGCAGCCTTGGAAAGATGCTCCTGCTCCTCTTCCTCCTCCTCCTCCAAGATCCCTTCGCTGTTATCACTGTAGGTTGCTTCATCATAGCTCACGCTTCTCAGAATTCCTCGTCTGTCATCGAACTCGGCAGTGCTGCTCTCACTGGTATCACTACAAACACTATTCTCCCGGCTTCGAGACTTCAGAATTGATTTACGAGGGACATATTCTCCATTCACAACATCAACAAAGATTCTGTAAAGGGAAATGTTAGCTTTAATAAACTATTTGGGGTGGAGGAAAGACCACATGACAAATTCACAATATTTTCACTCTGTCTTTAGGACAAATTAATTAGAACGACTCTGCCTACCCAGCTTGGCAACTGAAGCCTTTTAAACGACGCTGTGTAGATGGAGCATAGTCTGTAACTCCGCTGTTACCCTTCTTCTTCTAAGAGGCTAGCCATAATTTTACTTTGGAAGTAAAGCCCATCTTTAGAGGGTTAATGAAATTATGTTTTACCACACAAACGGGTGACCTAATGGAAGATTATATAGAGGGCCATATGTCTTGCTTTTGATGTCCAAATTTGTCTTCAAATATGAAGCACAAGGGATTACAATTTATGATTATTCATATGAAAGGTTGTGATAAAAGGCCTGGGGGAAGGAGCTAGATCGCCATTTTATCTACTGCAATGTTGTCTCTATGGCGACCCACGGAGTCTCTTCAGGAGTCTTTCTCGGTAGGAGATACTGGATGTTGAACTTGGAGCCTCCTGCATGAAAAGCAGGAACTTTTTCATGGAGCTGTGCTCTTCTCCTAGGATGTAACTCCAGGCATAGGAAACAAAAATGGAAGGTGACGCATAAATAAGAATGAGATGGGGTCAGAGATCTTCAGTGGAACAATACTGTTCCTTTAAAGATTCTGATATATTCTGAACCATGTTCTTGCTCGTAGGAGATATACCTAATTGCTGTGCCATGGCAGACACTCATTTTCTCCAGTGACCAGTTGCGAGACTGTTTCTCAGTTACGAGACTAAGGACAACACATTAGAATGATGGTTCCTAATTTGGGGGTAGTTCATCATGGATACCATCCCTGTGCCTTGGTGGGCCTCAAAGACAAATGAAAGTCCAATTTAGTTAATAAAAATGGAAGTATGAAAAATATGGTTCAAAAGTCAGGTCCAACTTTGGTTAAGACCAAGGACAAACAATAGGGAAAGGTCGAAAAGGAGACCTCAGTTCATGACTTCATGGTGCAACATAGAATTCAGCACAAACTCACTGACAACTGCTCTTAACAAAGGTGAACTGTGTGAGTTTAGAAAGATGCAAACACATGTGCTGTTTTGCAAATAGTCCTTCTATGAAAGCAATGAGATGCCAAAAAAGTAAACCATTTTGAAAGGGTTAGGAACATACTATGCTGAAGTTTACCAGTCCTGGCAATTCCTGCATTAACCTCCAGACAGATGTTTAGTTCTCATAATAATATCTACAATATCTGTTAAATGCCTCAATTGGGTACACTAGTAAAATGAAACACAGACTGGGGTTTTTTTTTAATTGTCGTAATATCCAAGTCATTTTAAGAGTCATTTCACACTGAGTAAGTAATTGTCAAATGCGAACGATAGAGAGAAAGTGATCTATTCCTACCAGGTGCAAGTTGGTGTTCAAAAGGTGATATACTATATGAATGATATTAAGCATATGTACCTAAATAGCAGCAACTCTCTGCCTCATGCTAGATTTACCCATTGTTGCAACATCTGGGACTGATTAATTTAGGGAAAAGGTGAGCAAAGGGGCTCACAATAGAAGGGTACAATGTTATGCAGAAAATGGGTGGGGAGCCATTCTCATTCGTAATACTAGGACCCAAGATGGTCATCCCAAGAAGCTGCCTGTTGGGAGATTCTGGGCAGATAAAAGGTTGTTAAACTATGAAGCATATTACTACAAGATGTAGAGAAGGTCACCAATTTGGAGGGCCTCCAAAGGGAATTCAAAGCACTCATGGAAGATGGGGCTACTGGGGGCTGCATGTCTTGATGGCTTCACATACATAGGTATGTATGTACGGTATTTCTATTCCACCTTTCTCCCATTGTAGAGTTCAAGGAAGCCGCATGCGGTTCCCAGATGGTCTCCTTTCCAAGCTCAGCCCAGCCCCAGACCTGCCTAGCCTCACCAGGGCCACCATCAGGCCCACCTCAGAGTAAATTCTGCCTCTACTATCCAAAGGGTCTGCTGGGTACACCAGTTGCTGGGGAACTTGGGTAGGAGGGTGCAGCTGGTGGGTATCCCATGGGCGGAAGGACGGAAGGCTGGCCTGATCCAGCAAAGCACTCATGTCCCAAAGCCGCAGCATACAGGAAGAGGCACGCCCCATCCACGTGTTCCCTACGGATGCCGTACCGGTAAATGTCTGCTGGTGTTTTGATACTGGGCAGTTCCGTAGCTGAGTGCCCATTGCCGTTGCTATTCTTCCGCTTGCGCTTTGCCTCTTCTTTCTTTTCACTGAATTTTAAAGTAGTATTTTTTCCCGTGTTTATTCGTACCTGAAAGAGGGAGCACGAGTTCATTGTGAGTAATCAGGCTTTTAATGGAAGAGTAAAGGTGCAATATTGTTCCTTAATCAGCTGGACACTCCAATTAGAATCAAACAGTAAGTTTCATGGCCCCCTCATAACTAGTGGCTAAGTTCAGTTGCAATGCTTGAACTATGGTTTCCTCCCACTTTCTCTTTCCAACTAACTCTGATTTGTGCTATCTGGAACTGGTAGTTGCTATACCACCAAATAGCTGCAGCTCTCTGGGCAGTTCAGATTTTAACAATGCTGGAGAAAGAAGCCAGGATCAGAAGCTAGTTTGAAGCTGGTCTATTTCCCTTGACTAAAAGTAAGACTTATCACAGTATGTCCAGGTTCAGACGTAATGATTACCCATACTGAGCTGAAAATAAAAGGGAAAGCTTCCAATCTGCCCACCGTGACCCCAAGGGTCTCTTCCTGCAAAGGCTGGCTGAGCCCATCTGCTTCTGCTCTCTAAAGCAGTTTGCGTCCTATGGCTTGCTTTAATACCATGTGAAGGACAATGGAAAGTTGCATTCGAAAGGAAGTCCTTTCTTGTCAGCACATATGAGAGGAGGGGGACTCCCACCCTGGCCAAGTATCTAGCGATAATGTGGAACAAAATTTCCCAAATAGGTAGTAGTCAGGTATCCATGAGGAAGTAACTTGTTTCTTCAACCAACTTCTTATCACTTGAACTTGGTTGCCCCATATTGTACTTATTTGACTTTCAACTAATGTCCCTCTGCATATACCATCCCATTCTGGAATCAGGAGGGATCACTTCAGATAGGAAGTCAAGTTTGGTGTCCTTACATTCAGACTAAACAGCAGCTAACCCTTTGCTGTTTGCCCCTAAAACCTGCTGAATTAGAAAATGCCTTCCCTATTAAGCCAACTTTTCACTGACAGAATAGCTAAACCAAACAATGTTTGAATCAGTTTTTGCTACTATTGGGGTCTCAATACCATCTTCTTTCTACATCTGATTTTAAAAATTAGATTAGAAATGCAAATTTCCCCATTTACCCTAATGTCTCAAGAGGTGAGGGCATTTGTTAAAATCCTGAGAAACCGTTTTTCTTCTTAGGTAAAAGCAGCTTCTTCATTAAGGAGAACCTTGCCGACTACACAACAGACTCAGTAATATGGATGCCACAACCCTTGCAATACACACCCTTTTAGGTTCCACAGTATGTGAGAAATATATTGTTGGTACACCATTCTCGGCAATGGCTAAATCATCTTCTTCATCGCTGCAATAATGATTTGGGCCATTATCCTGACATCTGAACAATTCAGAGTTGGTTACTTCTTTTTTAAAGTTGCCCTGAGTATTAGGTTCTTCTTCCCCATGAACTACATTCACATCTGTCTTCTTTCCTTCTCTCTCTTCTTCAGAGGAGGAAGGGTCTTGTCCGTTTGCCTGAACCGTATCAGAAGTCCTAGAAAGGGGCAGGGTAGTGAGGATAACATTTAAGTACTGGTTAAAAATGCTGGTTTAATGATGATGGTTACCCTACACTGGAGTATCCCCTTCTGAAGGCTCACCTACTACAGTGCCTTTCCTATGAGAGGATACGGACAATATTCTCCATCAGCCTACCCAAACCACCGGATGCATTGGACTACAACTCCCAGCAGCTGGAGCATGAGGGCAGTTGTAGTTCAACACATCTGCAGAGCACTAACTTGGGGAAAGTGGTTTCACATTATGGATGAAAGCAGATCAGTGCTAGAGCGAGTATGGCATCTCACATCACAGAACAGCCAATCAGAGGATTCTAGGGGGTCCATCAACAGGCCATGAAGGTAACAGCCCACTTCCGCTGTCGCTCCTCAATACTTCACAGATCAGCTCCTTCTAAAACCTGCACTTTGTGTATATCTATACGGACCGGAGGCCACTAATTCACCGATCTCGTTTTTGGCTGCTGCTTTCACATGAACGAACACGACTGGCGGCACAGTATAGACCAAGCCTTGTGATGTCACCCATTGGGCCTCAGTACAATTCCCTTCTGGGTTCACTCCATATCCATACGGGCTTGTTCCTTAATAATGATTTTTTCAAAAAATGAAAAGCTTCCCATGACTGGCATGAAAGAAAGTCTGACGCTGCCCCTTTTCCTAGATACTAATTTCCTGTCTTCTGCCTTACTGAAAGCTTTTAAAAATAACTTAATGCGGGGTTTGCGGCGCTATATCCATCTATTTATTCACTGCAGACATTTTGCTAATTTTGTCCACCAGCATCTTAACTCATTTCAGCAAATGTTAAATCCAGTTACCACACAACCCTGGAATCTAGGCCACTTTATGATCCAAACCCATCTTCAAGACTCGCCTAGGTCTTTTTTTTCCCCTGCATATTGCATTAATTTTTCTTCCTCGTGTGTCCAAGAATGAGCATGTAAATTGTTTTACTTTAGAGAAAAAAACTCGAGCCCAGAATGCTGGTAGGGATAGAACCTGAACCTGCAGCTGCATGATAAACAGGTGTTTGTTTTATGTTAACTATCATCCCCTCTTGCACCAAAGAATCATGAGAATTGTTGTCTGATTAGACACTAAGGATCCTTAGACAGGCTGTGGCTTAGCAGCAGATCACAAACTCTGCATGCAAACAATCCCTGGTTCAATCCCGGGCATTTCTAAATAGACGTATTTGAAACAGGGAAAGAAGTTTTTGTTCATCCATGTTACTATCACAATCAAGTCAACAATACAAATGAGCCACCGAACTTGCTCACACAACACAAAGAACCACCCTGGGTAAATAGGCAAAGTGCATGTTCATGTCATCCAAATCCACTCCGCTTTGCCCACAGAGGCTTGCTTGCTTATTTTATTTCATTCCATTTTTACGCCGCTCTATAACCCAAAGGTTCTCTTGGTGGCTTACAAATGCTAAAACAGCATAAAAATGAATACAATAAAACAATTAATAAGCAGATAAAATAGATGAGCAAAATAATAAAATCTCAATACAATATAACCGCGCATACCAGGTAAAGCCAATAAATTAAATTAAAGCCAAAATTAAATTAAAATAGCAAAATATTGAAATATTAAATTACATAATTGAATTAAATGAATAAATGAACAAAAAACTTGTTCAAATAAAAAAGTTTTCACCTGGCACCTAACAGAAAGGAGCGTTGGTGCCAGCCGTATATCCCTGGGGAGTGAATTCCAGTAGGTGCTACTGCTGAGAATGCCCTCCTCCCAGCCCTTTCCCCTTTATCTGACGAGGGGAGACATTCAAAGGAGGCAGCGCACCAGGTCCCAAGGTACCTGGTCGCAAGCCGTTCAGGGCTTTGTACGTCAAGGACAATATCTGAATCGGGCCCAGACTGGGACAGGGAGGCAATGCAGTGGAGAGAGGACCGCTTAGTATGTCCCCACCAGCCAGTCCTCATAAGCAGCCACGCTGCCCTGTTCTTCATTAGCTGTCCTATCCGGACTGTTTTCAAAGGCAGCCCCACACAGAGCACATTACAGTAATCCAGGTGAGAGGTTGCCAGCATGTGGGTCCCTGTGGCAAGGCTCTGCTCATCCAAGTAGGAACGCAGTTGAGGAATCAGCGGAAGCTGACAGAAGGCGCTCCTGGCCACCGAGTCCACCTGAGAAACCAGGGAGAATCAGGGACCAGAAGCACCCGCAAGCTGCAAACCTTACCCTTTAGCGGGAGCGCAACCCAGCCCAGGGTAGGTTAAACATTTCCTAGTTAGTGTTTTCCCCATTTGCTTCCTCTGACAGCTGTCAAAAGGTGATCTGTCAAGAGAAAGCAAAAGCCAAGTGATCTTTGCTCACAAAAGGGAGGTGGTGCAATTTATATTTCCTTCGTGGGAACATTCTCATGTTGCTTCCAGAAAAAACTGCACATTTTAGGTGTGAGTTTAAAAAAAAAAAAAAAAGAACAGGAGTGGTGAGCCAGTGACAGCCCTTGTGATGCGCTATTTGAATACTTCAGAGCAGTTGTTACTGGAAAGGCTACCTCCAAAAATGTGGGGCAAATGGGAAAAAGCCACAGAGAACTAAAAATGGCTTGAGAGTAACCCATGACGAGCATGATCAATGGGCACGCTGTGGGTTGTTCTCCAAACAAGCAAATACCAAGCAAATACAAATCCACCTCTTGTGTTTTTATTTAATCCAAAAAACAAGGAAAGATTATGGAAATTCAGGTTTCAAAGAGGACATTGAAATTTCCATTTGCTGCAATGTGAACTAGGAAATGCTGCAACACGAGTCAGTTATGTGACCAAAGCTATGATCACAGAAGGTCATATCCACAAAACGCAATCAATATGACGGGGTCGCCAGACTTGCTCAACAAACGAGCCACGTAGGGAAAATGTCAGGTGCTTGAGAGCTGCAAGTGGGAGCCCACAGACACCTGCAGCAGTGAGCAGCAAGCCACAAAATAAACTCAACGAGCCACCTGCTGCTCCCCAGTCTCAGTTTGCCACCCCTACAATATGGCACACAAGAGCGCAACACACTGTAATTTAAACCAGATGTCGCTCAGCCAAAAAGAGAGACTAGGGTAGATCTTGATAGAGTCATTAGCATCCCTCCCCATTCCCAGGTCCTGCTTCAGGACCCCAGTATGGCCAAACCTCCATCTTAAGTACTCTTATTTCTTCTGAAGAGAGAATTCCAATACGTTATTGTTAAAGATACCTTTCTAGTTCACCAAGGATCTCTTCTTGCCTCTCAAGTTCATCAAGTCTGGCCCAAAGCTCTTCCTCTGATTTCGAGTCCCCACTGGATTTTTCAACAGTCCCATTTTCTTGAAGATTTGCCTCAAAAGCAAAGGTTTTTGGTTTTGAATGAGGTTTGTGAGCAATTCTGCGCTTTCCTGGGGAATTAAACAAAGAGTTTTGTGCTTTTTAATGCCATGTCAGACAAATAGTTCATCTAGAAGTATTCTGTACAGAGATCTGCAATGGCTGCCTAGGATTTCCCATAGACGTATTCCCCAGTCCTACCTGGAGATGCGAGGGACTGAACCTGGTACCTTCTACACACAAAAGATATGCTCTGCTGCTGGGCTGCAGCCCTATCCATAAATCACTTATGATAAATCCAAGTGAAAGTTTATCCTATATTCCTCTAACCCTTTGCAGAATGCTGCAACATTTGAGGGCTCACAACACATGAATGTATCTACAACAAAATGTTGCAACCCTTCTTCTAAACTCTTCAGAGACAACTTGAGAAAAGTTTGTTTTTGTTTGATTGTATCTGTTAACTTTTTCATGGCTTGATTTGAAAACAGGTTTTCTGCACAAGCTAACTGAACACATTAAAAGTCGTAACAATGAACTGACGCAAAGAATAGAAACCAACCAACAAACCCAGAAATTTATTATTTCCAACCTGCCCCATTAGCCATATGGCTTCCAATTACCCCAGCATTTAAAAAAGAAAACCCATGAAAAAACTCACCTTTTGTTTCAGTGTCATTACTTTCAGTGACTTCTCTTATATCAACAAAATCGCCAGCTGCCTGGTTGGAAAGACAGTTTTTAAAATGAATATGCTTTACAAGAGGTTACTGCTTATTCAGAGGTGACATTTATGGCCACCGGGTTTCAGAGGTCCAATGGTGGTTTGGGGGCCTCTGTGCTTCAACCTACAGTCGCCTAAGCCACATGGCAAGCAAACTAGGGGATGCTGCAGAACAGTCTGAGGTATGGCATGGCACAGGTTTCTGATCTTCAGAGACAACCACCCTGCTGCACGCCAGTCCTAAGACTCACGCAAGTAATAAATCCTTTCCCTGAACTGAATCAGTTAGTGATAAAGCCACTTAAGAGGTGTAAGAGGTGCATCTTATTCCTATAGACTCAATATTCTTCCTGTCACTTATATAAAATGCCTTCCGTGTACAATAGCAAATGCCTTACATCACTCATCTTCTGCAAATCTTCCGTGAACTCAGCTCTGGATTCAAAATTCTTCATAACTTTTTGCAAATCTTCCTGTGTTTTCCTTACATCTGAAATGGCAAAATGGTTACTATGAAAGAGGGGATACATGTCAAAGGAATGGGGTAATAACATTTTAAATGGAGAATTCCATGCTGAAAATCCAATGATCCACACTGACGAAGGGACGCATCGCTTCCCTCCTAGTTCTGAGTCCTTATATGCTTGTTTATCAAGACTTTCACATTTAAAACTGTCATTTTTTTCCTGACCAACACACTGTGCAGACACACAACAGGTCAAAAAGAAAAAAAATCCCAATCTCTACATATGATTTGATCATAAACTTTGAGATGTTTCATACTGTTCTAAATTCTGCAGAAAAATCCTATCACACATACAAGTTCCATTTATTTGTTTATGTATTCATGCATGCATGCATTGTTTCAATTTATATGCCACTAATTTAGCCCACACTTGGGCTCTCTACATGGCTTAAAAGCAGTTAAACAACACAACATTTTAAAAATCTGCAATACTAGAACATTAACAAAACATCCAAAACTACACAGAAACATAATCCACAAATTAAAATCATTGCATAAAAACTTTTAAATGAACAATATAAAATTAAAATAAAACTATAAACCAAGAGTAGGACCAAGTTAAAATCAAAATTACCAATAAAATCAAATTCAATCAATTAAAATAGCCAGAAAAAATATATGTCTTCACCCAGCCCTGAAATGGTAACAATGATGGCACCAGGTGCAACTCTCCAAGGTTCTATTCCAGAGATGGGGCACAACCACATCAAGAAGGTCCGTCTTTCAGCTGCCGTCCCCACGCCTGCCTGGCAGACGGCATCATAAGAGGGACCTCCTGGTTTGTTTTGCTGTGGTTTGCATAGCCCTCTTAAGTCAACTGATGCTATGGTACATGCAAACGTTAGACTGTTTCCTGATCAGAACAATCCTTTAGTTGAGTTATGCTGCAACTGTACACATTTCCTACTCAAATCAATGGGACCCAAAATTCTGAGCCTCAGTCCCAAGTAAGTGGGCAACGATTACAGCTTTAGGCTTTGATATGCTGGCATTCTATGTGAGTCTACT